ATCTGGGCCTGGTGCCTTTCTGATCTTTTGTCTTTTAAAGAGGCCACACACATCATCTTCACAGATCATTAGAGGTGGGAGGCTGGAGGGAAGGGTGGTGATTATTGTGGAAGCAGCTGCTGGATCTGAGGTGGGGAGGGTGAGGGGGGAGTGTTGTTTGTCAAACCTGAACACATTCAGGTTGTGTGCCAGTTGACCGTCCTCCACAGCAGGGGGGGAATGGTTTCTTATAGCCAGTGATGCTTTTCAGGCTTCTCCACACAGACGAGGGGTCATTGGCTGAAACCTGAGCCTTCAGCTTTTCAGAGTAGCTCCTCTTTGCTGCTCTGATCTTCCTTGTCAGTGTGTTCCTTGCCTGGCTGTACAGAGTCCTATCCCCACTTCTGTAAGCCTCCTCTTTTGCACAACGAAGCTGCTTGAGTCTTGTTGTGAACCAGGGCTTCTTGTTGTTGTATGTGCAGAAGGTCTTGTTGGGCACACACACATCCTCACAAAAGCTGATGTATGATATCACAGTGTCAGTGAGTTCGTCCAGGTCTGTAGTTGTAGTCTCAAATACACTCCAGTCTGTGCAGTCAAAGCAGGCCTGTAGCTCTGACTTAGCCTCCTCAGTCCAGCTCTTCACTGTTTTGACCACAGGCTTCGCAGCTTTTACTTTCTGCCTGTAGATTGGCATAAGATGGTTCATACAGTGATCTGAGCGTCCAAGGGCTGCACGGGGGACAGAGTGATAGGCGTCTTTTATCATTGTGTAGCAGTGGTCCAGTGTGATTTTGTCCCTGGTGGGACAGGTGACGTGCTGCCTGTATTTGGGCAGTTTGTGGGTGAGATTTACTCTGTTAAAGTCTTCTAGTACAATGAGTGGAAAGTTGGGATGTTCCTGCTCCAGGCTAGTTATCTGTTCTGCCAGGAGAAATTCACGGGGAGAGTAAAAAGGTTTGCAATTGATAACAAGAGTCTCTGCATTACATGTCCTCTGTACCATCTTGACATCTGTGCACCAAACTTCATTTATGTAGAAGCAGATTCCACCTCCTCTCGTTTTCCTGGACAGCTCTGTTACATGATCTGCTCTGTACACCTGGAAGCCCGGTACTTGAATTGCGCTGTCTGCGATCGAGTCGCTCAGCCAAGTCTCCATGAAGCACAAAGCAGCAGAGTGTGCAAAGTCGGAGTTAGTCTTGTTGACGAGAAGAATTTCATCCATCTTATTGACCAGGGAGTGGAGATTAGCCAGGTGAAATGATGGGAGTGGGGTTCGTGTTCCCCTCTGATCAGAATGTTCATACAGCATTCTTCGTTCACAAACATCGGAGGAAGGTAGTTTGGTGTGAGTTGTCCAATATTTAAAAGTTCTTCTCTGGTAAAAGTAATCCGGGATGAGTTGCAAAAGACCAAGAAAGCAAAGAAAAATAACAAACACAAGAGAGCGCGAGTGACCACAGCCGCCATTGCTGTCGGCGCTGGAAGTGCATACAGTCAAGCCCGAAATTATTCATACCCCTGGCAAATTCTGACTTAAAGTTACTTTTACTCAACCAGCAAGTATTTTTTGACAGGAAATGACACAGGCATCTCCCAAAAGATAATAATACGATGTACAAGAGGCATCATTGTGGAAAAAATATTTCTCAGCCTTTATTTACATTTGAACAAAAAGTGGCATGTCTAAAATTATTCATACCCTTCTCAATAATCAATAGAAAAGCCTTTATTGGCTGGTACAACAAACAAATGCTTCCTATTATTTTTT